TGTAAGACCAAGCGTCATCTTACCGCATCTCAGTATTTTCAATAAGTCCACGCGGATGCCATTTTCAAAAACCTCATTCCCCCCCCGTCCTGTATCATCTAAGCGTTTAGTATTCATTTTTTTCAAAAACTTTCCCAAAACACTATCACTATGCATAATCACAGGACTGCTCAACTGATCAACTCAATTTAACATCTCAACAAATTAATCCAGTTATATTTACTGCCAGTTGTAATTGCGAGCGTCAAGTTTCATCTGTCGAGTGAATAGAAAAGGGTCCTCCAGACCCTTATCGACCGGAAACGGAATAATTTTCCATTCAGATAGCCGTGATAAGTATTTGAACCGAGTTTGAGATCAACGTTTGGCATGAGTTGAAAGTTAACTTTCTCCCATCGTGGTAGTAGAGCTACGGGCAAAATTTCTGAATTTCTGAAGTGACAGTTTGTCACTAGCTAAAAATACTTGCAAGTTGCAAGTTGTTTGTTCAATTTTTTGGCACTATAAGTCTTCCGCCAATAAAAGGAACACCCACGCAAAGAGACCTACGTAAATAGACATTGAGTTTTTAGTTAGACTGGTAAAGGATATACACGCTCGAAGGTGAACTTTAGGAGCGTATTTCAGAATGCTGCGGTTGCAATAAAAATTATCTCATTCTTATTGCAATGGCGTCCTAAAGTATTTGTTCCATTTCTTAAGTGATTTCGTTTTTACAAATGTATTAAAAAAACCCGTCCGACCTATACGGTCACTGCTCTTTGCACTTTTAATGAGGGACACTTGACACGGCACTCCGATGAAGGTAAGCGCATCGTAAGACACACAAAATGGCGTTGATGTTGTTACAAACTTTGTATTGATCTTTTTTTTATATCAGCTGCCCAAGGGTGGCGCATAGTCATTCTGTCGAAGCATTTGCAACGTCTAAGAAGGTGGTAAATATTCCCATGGCCGCAAAATTGAAGATATTGCTCTTAAATCTGGGAGATCTCGTATTTAGGTTAGCATTAAAAACGAGCTAAATCGGCTAACCTTAGCCAGCCGCCTACAGTGCAACATAAATTGAAAACATCTTGATCTTTTTACTCATACACTACCATGGATACACCATAAAAATTTCCATATATAGTCTACGAAAATGGAAAAAATCAACCATTCCCACCCAATATTGCAGAGCATGGAAGTTTAGGTTTTTTTTTTGTCTCTTTTTGTCTCTTTTGGGATAAAAGCAGTGAGTATGTAGAAAAGATTCGATCATAGCGGAATATAAGATTTTTATTTGTTTAGCGTTGATAAAAAACTATTCTCCTTTTCGTTAAAACTCAATTAATCCAAACAGTTTGAGTAACACTTTCGCTTCACTGTTTCATCGACTCACAGATAATCGGGATACGAATGTTTTTTGCAACCTTTTTAGTCTATTTTGACCTGTTTGCTGGTCAGACTGTTTCGCAGCCTATTCAACTCTACACTATCTTCTCGCAGATCAGGAAGTATATGTAGTATCTGCAGCCATCGAATATATTCTATTCTTTGGAAAAGATTGAAAGTTTTACTCGCATTTTTCTACTCTCCACCATTTATGGTACAAGCGTATATTAAGTTTGTGCGATTGCAAGCAACATCTAGATCGGTTCAGAATCATTTTTTGAATCGATTTAGACTCGTCTGACCGTCTCCTTTCTCTATGTTCATCCTCAAGGTCGCAGCTTTCAAGATATTTTGATGAAATTTAGTACACCAGCGTGTTTTACCACAAGGACGAACGCTGTTGAATATAGTTCCGATCGGTCGACTTGTTTCGACCGTGTCCCATATCATTATAATAACAATAACTGTATTAAGCAAAGTGGTATAGAGTATTGAACGGTAGATCGTTTTCCGCCATATTCTTTTTATTTATTTTGTATAATATCGAATATGTGTGTGTGTGTGTGTGTGTGTGTGTGTGTGTGTGTGTGTGTGTGT